CTAAGCTCTCTTCTGAGTTCCAGACACATTAAATGATATTCTACACATCTACACATCTGTATAAATGCTGCTTCATAAGTTTTGAGTGTAGGCTAGGACATAGGTAGTATAGTAACTAAACCATGAGTTAGGACAGAGTATTAGATCTTTGTTGCCTTTAAGAATATCATGTAGAACATACTGTTTTGAATGACATAGAAATGTGGAGAATATTCCTTTGACTAAATAGATTATGTGGTGGGATTTAGTAGCTACAGTTGTAACTAGTGAGTAAGTCCATGTATGTAATTCGGGAGTTTAAGTTTTTAGTTAGGAAAATTTCTGTCCCCATTCTTCCTAAGAACCTAGTCTGACAGGACTGGCTTCTTGTCTTGATTGTTTATTTATATTTCCCTCTTGCCTTTAAACATTATCTGAGAAAGTTTTAAACATAAGAACCCTCATGTGATTGACATGGCCTTAAGTGTTGACAAAGCAAGTGAAGCAGTAATTACCTTGGAGACTTTTGATATTCATGAAAGTAGAATACTTTTCATTACATAAAAACATAAAACATAAAAGTTGCCATTTAAACCACTTTCAGTAGTATAATCCAATGGCATTACTCACACTCACAATGCGCTGCAACTATTACCACTGTTCTAAAATGTTCTTATCATCCCAGAAAACTCTCATCTCCATTTTTAATAATGTTAGTATTTTGAGGTTATCTAAAGAGCTAATCTGTCCAAATGATGAATAATGAACTGCTGAGCTTACTTTTTTACAAGGGTAGGAGAAAAAGTAGAAAACAAAACAAAATCTCTTTGGAAGAGATGATACTTGATAAATCTTACCTTGATTTCTCCCGTTTCTTTATCCCTGTACTGAACTCCTATTACTGCATCATCTTCCTCTAGTAACTGGAGTACAACACCTTCAATAAACTTTACACTAAAGGATAAATAAAAAAATAGATTCTGTCACAGCATACCTGAACAATTTAAAGGAGATATGACAAGATCTTGCTCCTTATTTAGTTGACCTATGTGTTACATACAATTTTGCAAAATTACTAAGATTAACAAAAACATATTGTTTCAACATTTAAAATATAATTATCCTAATGATATTCTACTCCTGTATAATTGCAATTAAAATCAATTTATTCAAACAGGACAAAGACCATTCACCAAGGAAAAAATGCAAATGTCCCTAAAACATTTGGAAAAATTTACTACTTCACTACTAATGACAAAACCCATAACTACCACCATGCCTAGCAATTTGGCAAACTTTAAAACAAAATAAGGACTCAGTTTGGCAAGAGTATAGGAAAAAAGGGGATTATCTTTCAATTATCATAGAGAAAAACTTATAAAATTCTGAATAATCATGAAAACAGTACTATTTTTCCCAGGCATGTAATTCTCACAACAACTGCTTTGGGAAGACTTATTATTCCCATTTTTCAGAGAAGAACACAAGGTAACTTGCTAAAGGGTTCTAAGACTTGTAAACAACATACACTACTATAGTATTTACTGTTCTTCAATCAGCGTGGGAGGCTGTTCTACTTGCAGAGATTGTGTCAACTCTGGCTATTAGGATGCTCAATGCTTCAATGCAGTATTATTTTACTAATAGTCAAAAAGTAGAAACAGTGTGAAGTCTAACAAAAAAAACTGTATTTCAATAAATAAATTATAGTTCATCCATAGCAGGAAATGCCAGGAAGCTATAAAAATCATGCTAAAAAAAAACACTATATGGTCATCTACTTGTATGTATACATATGTGTACACAAAAAAGGTTTGGAATGACAAGGGGCAAAAACATTAATGGTTTTAAAATTATGTGTGGCTCGTATTTTCTAATATAGCAAGCAACAATGAATACATATTACTAACATTAACAAAAATTATTTTAAAAAATAAATGAGATTTTTATCTGAATTGAATAAAAAATAAATATACATGGAGAAATTTTACATACCCATACACATTCATAACAGAAAGGAAAAAAATAAAGTTTATTCACTAAATTATTAATAGTAGTTATTTCTAGTCAGAAGAATCATGGGATAATTATTATGATCTTTATATGTTGGTTTATTTTTCAGTTTTTATGTAATGAAAAGTATTCTACTTTCATGAATATCAAAAGTCTCCAAGGTAATTACTGCTTCACTTGCTTTGTCAACACTTAAGGCCATGTCAATCACATGAGGGTTCTTATGTTTAAAACTTTCTCAGATAATGTTTAAAGGCAAGAGGGAAATATAAATAAACAATCAAGACAAGAAGCCAGTCCTGTCAGACTAGGTTCTTAGGAAGAATGGGGACAGAAATTTTCCTAACTAAAAACTTAAACTCCCGAATTACATACATGGACTTACTCACTAGTTACAACTGTAGCTACTAAATCCCACCACATAATCTATTTAGTCAAAGGAATATTCTCCACATTTCTATGTCATTCAAAACAGTATGTTCTACATGATATTCTTAAAGGCAACAAAGATCTAATACTCTGTCCTAACTCATGGTTTAGTTACTATACTACCTATGTCCTAGCCTACACTCAAAACTTATGAAGCAGCATTTATACAGACACCAGAGTTAAATGTGTTAACTTATGTAACATACAGTTGGAGCTGTGGTCTTACTTGGGTTCTGCCATAGCTGCCTTCCGGAGACTCATGATGAATCTTCCATGATGGAAAGCTCTTCCACTCAGCACTTGATTGTTTTCTGACAGAGGGAAAGGAATCTTAACCTGTGATTTGGTTTCCTGATCATGTATTATGTAGCCATCCACAACCTGGGCATCAAGGCCTCCCACTGTATCTGCAAATAAATTCAGTTCAAAAACATCAATTATGTTTATATGTCCAGAATTATGCTAGCCACCAAGAAGGACACAAAGGCATAAAAAAATGAGTCCCTGTAAAGTTATAATACCACCTGGAAAACTGGGCAGTAACCATTCAGAAATCTTAATGCTCTGGAGAACAATGGCAGTCTTAGCAAATCTGTAACATGACTTAAGGATAACCACACATGAAACTATTTCAGGTCTGTAATTCCACATTAACTCAAAAAGTTAAGAAAATGCAATGTGAAATAAAATAAGCCACAATCCTATACTGAGTATACCTGTTCTGTCCATAACAACATAGTAGCAGTTGGTCTTTCACACCATTTTTCAAAATATGTGTGGCACTGGCACAATAACCAGAAAAAGAATGAAACTTCTCAAAAAGAAAAAAAAGTGATACATAAAGACTGGGAGCCTGGTAGCGTGGTGCCTAAAGCACTTGACTGCTAACCAGAAGGCTGGCGGTTCAAATCCACCAGCCACTCCTCAGAAGGTTGGGCAATCTACTTCCATAGAGATACCACCTCAGAAACCTAAGGAGGGTCGCTATGAGTCAGAAACGACTCAACGGCAGCAAGTTTGGTTTTAGTTTCTCTCTCTCTCTTATACCTAGTAACATCTCATACATCAGCAAGTCCTTCTAGCTCTTCTAAAATGTGACCACTTTCTACACCTCTACTTCAGTTACCATATTCCAAGCTCCTAATAGGTCTCCCTGCTTCTGACCCTGCCACTTTATCTCTATTCCACACAATAAGAGAATACTTTTAAACCATACTTTTAAAACGCAAGTCAATTCCATATATAGGGTTGGCAGACAATGGTTCTACAAGTGTATTTTTGTATGTTCTGTAAGAATTCTCAGGTTATGGTAGAGCTGATAGGGGACAAGGTTGTAGTCACTTCTTGGCCACAGCCAGCTACCCAGAGGGAGCAAGTACTTGGACCTGTGGGCTCGGGACCATAGTCACAGGGGACATCAAGCTCAATTGGCATAACATACCACACAAAAACATTGTTCCACATACTACTTTGGTTAAGTGGTGACTAGGATCTTAAAAGCTTGCAAGCGGCCATCTAGATGCAATGATGGTCTCTCCTCGTCCAGAGCCAAGAGGAATGAAGAAAAACAAAGATACATGGAAACAATTAGTCCAAGCAACTGGTACACCATGTGATCCTCAGCCTATACAACTGAGACCAGAAGAGCTAGATGGTGCCCAGCCACCACTGTCAACCACTCAGAGGGGGATCTATGATATAGTGGGAGAACAATATGGAACAACACTCAAAATCATGGGAAAAAAAAAAAAAGGGACCAGGTTTCCTGGTCTGATAGAGCCTGGTGGAACCCCTGAGACTATAGCCCCTAGCTCCCCTTCAGGTCTGGAATTGAACCCACTCCTGTGGCTTCCAGCCAAACAAAAGACAGGCATATGAGCTGAAATTTCACATTAGGTTGATACACTCCTTGGAGAGAACAATCATGGCAGAATAGAAAGGCTGTGTATGCACAGGGAGACAGCTCCAGAGGCAGGAATGCAGGGGAGGGAAGGACACAGGGAAGAGGTAACTATGGGGAGAAGGTGGGAGGGGAGTTGTTGCACTGTGGGAAATTGCAGTCAATGTCATGAGACAAAGTATATGTGAGCTGGTGTATGGAAAGTGAATTTGCTCTGTAAATTTTCAGCCAAGTCACAATTCAAAAAATAAAATTAAAAAAAAAAATATATATATATATATATATATATAAAATTTTATTTATATATATATATATGCAAGTTAGTTTTATAACTCTTCTTAAATCATCCAGTGGCTTCCCCCTTTGGCATAAAAGCCAATTTTTACAGTGGGCTACAAAGTCCTATGGAATTCAGTCTTCATTAGCTACTTGACCTCTTCTCTTCACTGTTCTCCCTCTCAATCACACCGCGCTAGTCGATGTTATTCTCCCCTCTCATTCTTCAAACCAAGCAGGCTCGCTTCTCCCACAGGGCTTCCTCTCTAGATGTTCTCTCAGCCTGGAATTCTTTCTTCAGATCCCCTAGGGGTTGCTCCCTCACTCCCTACACTTATTTCCTCAAATGCCATTTTCTCATTGAGGACTCCCCCAACCACTTTATTTAAAATTACATCACTCTACTTCCTACCTTTTTCTGATTTTTCTCTAAAGCTGTTTTCACTAACAAACATGCTCTAAATTTTGTTTACTTAGTACCTTTTATCACCCCTCACACACTCGAAGACGTGTTCCACGAAGGCTAGAATTGTCATCTGTTTTGTTCACTACCCTAGTGTGGTGATGAAGTTTGTGTGTCAACTTGGCTGGGCCTGGTTGAGTGGCTGGGCAGCTGAATGCAGTTATTCCCCATGGTGAGATTGGTAATTAACTCTATAGTGGAATCTACTGAAGCAGCTAAGTAGCTGCTTTGGGTACGTGATCTGCTTCCCATATATAAGAAACAGCTTTGGGAATGGTTTCTAGCTTATAACACACTTGAACCCTGCATGTAGCCATGTCATTTGTTCAACAGTCTACCATGCTCTGGCGACCTTGGGACTTTCAATGTACTTGAATTAATGGCCTGCCATGTGGTTTGATATCATTGGGTTGTGCCTTTTTACTTATCAACCTTGGGCTTGTCAGCCTCAGCAGCCAGCAGCTGTCTGAGTGAAGAAATGCCTCTAGCTCCAGTGGGCTGGGTGCAGGAGGCAGAGCTGAAGCCCAAGGCTGAGGGGTTTTCACCCAGCCCCTAGAGCCTGGCACTTTGAACTCAGACTTCTAGACTCCTGAACTGTAAGAGAATAAACTCCTGTTTGTTCAAGCCATCCCATTTGTGGCATATTCTTATTAGAGCAGCAGTACGTAACCAGAACACCTAGCTTCAGCATCTAGAACTGTACCTACCATTTGTTTAATGCTTAATGACTATGTTAAATAAATGAATGAATTTCACACTTTTGGTCACCTCCTCTCTCATCATCAGTTTCCTCCTCTCTACTGTATCATCCCCATACAACTGAGCTCTAGTATCAAAATATACCTTTTCTGTCCTCCCAGCCCCATCTCACTCCTGCCCTGTTTATACTGACTACCAAAAAAACCTCAAGAGCATCGCAGTCTCTAGTGTCAAAAGTTTTACCTCCCATTTACTTCTATTGCTGCCACAATTCCACTGCAGCACATCATCCATTAAGGTGTTTCAACCACCTCCAAACTGCCAAATCCAATGGTCATTTATCTAGACTCATCTTACCTAAACCTTCATTAGCCAATATATGACTAAGCTATCCTTCCCTTTTTCCATACACACCCGTTCTTTCCTACTGAAACATTCTCTTCTCTTGGATTAAGTAACACCAAATACCTCTGGCTTTCTTCTACCATTATTCTAGCTCCTTCTGAGTCTCTTTTGCAGGCTTTTCTTCTTCTACCCAACCTTTAAATATCAGAGTTTCCCAGGACTTGCCTTATTCTCCTTACATTCTTCTCTTAGTTGGTCTCAATTGTTATGACTTTTAAATACCAGAAACATGCTGACATCTACACTTATAACTCCAACCAGCCTAAATCACTTCTCTGAGCTCTAAATTCATATATTCAACTTATCTCCACTTGGATGTTTCAATAGAGTCCCCCAAAATTTCCTCCTACATCTGCTCCTCTTCTGGTCTTATCAGCAAATGTGCCAACATTTACCAGTTGGCTCAAGCCAAAAATCTAGGAATCATCTTTCATATCACCTTCTTTCTCATCTCTCACATCCAAGCCTTCTAAATCATGCCATTTCTGCCTGTTAATTTTATCACAACTCTGTACACTTCTCTTTATATCCTCAGCTACATTGCTAGTCCAAACCCTTATCTGTCATTTGGACTTAACAATGAGCCTCCATTGGAATCCCTGCATCTACTCTTGCTACTACTACTGGCACAATCTTCCATTTACTCTCCACACTATATTCACACAGTTTTTTTAAATAGCATTCCTCAGTACCCACTACAAAACCTCACACAAAATAAGCAGTGAATAAATATTTCTGAAATGCACAGGTGCTTAAAAAAACTGACTGAATGGGTAAATGATGAAAGTTCTAGGTAATAACACTTATTACAAGAACAGGCACATAAGAAGCAATCTACAAATGGTTTTGTTGTTGTTGTTGTTATGTGCCGTCGAGTCAGCCCCGACTCATAGCGACCCCTCCTTGGGTTTCCGAGGCAGTATCACTATGGAAGTAGGATTGCCCAACCTTCCTTCCGAGGAGTGGCTGGTGGGTTTGAACCGCCAGCCTTCTGGTTAGCAGTCAAGTGCTTTAGCCACTATGCTACCAGAGCTCCTGTAAAATGGTAGTTCCCTTCAACTTTCACTGCATTTCATGTCCTCACTCTAGAAGCTTCCCAAATCCTTTATTTTGACCATTACAATATTTATCCACTCCATTGTAATAGCTCATTAAATGTACTTCATGTCTCCTTAAACAACTAAATGGTATGGGTTTTTTTGTTTTGCTTTTCGCTCTTATTTTCATGGATATTCATTGGTAATTTTGAAAAACTGGAAAATTCATTGATGACTGGTATTGGAGAACAGTTACTTTTTGTAAGTGGAATAATTTTTTACCAGTCATAAGATACTGTAAAGTGTTTGCTTATAGTACATAACTCTTCAATATGAACCTACCTTCAAGACCAAGGTCTTTAAGGACACAATAGCCACCTGGCTGCAGAAATTCTCCAACTATCCTGTCAGGCTCTTTTAAATCTCTCTCAATTACTGTCACCTTTCTTCCATCTCTGGAAAGCACTGATGCCATAGCAGAGCCAAGTACACCAGATCCCACAATGATAATTTCTGGATCATTTTGAGAAGTTATTGCTGCTCCTATTAAGGTAGTTTCTGAAATATTTGTTCCTTTTTGATGCTAGTTAAAGGAAAAAAAAAGTGAATTATGTTTACACATTTGTTACCCTTAAGTCATACTATTAATATATAGACACAGTGGAATTTAGCATCTTGGAAAAAAGTTAGAATTTAAATATCACAAAACAAAGGAATTTTTACTTTTTAAATCCAAGTATTATATACAAATCAATGATGTCAAAATACTGTTTAAATAAAAAATGTATACTATCTCAATGACACTATTTCTTTTCCAAACATACCAAGAAACCAAAACCAAACGCACTACCGTCAAGTCAGATCCAACTCATAGCGACCCCTCCTTGGGTTTCCGAGGTAATATCCCTGCGGAGCTCTGGTAGCATAGTGCCTAAGGCACTTGACTGCTCACCAGAAGGCTGGCGGTTCAAACCCACCAGCCACTCCTCGTAAGGAAGGTTGGGCAATCCTACTTCCGTAGTGATACTGCCTCGGAAACCCAATGAGGGGTCGCTATGAGTCGGGGCCGACTCGATGGCAAACAACAACAATCCCTGCGGAAGTAGATTACCCAACCTTCTTTCTGAGGAGTGGCTGGTGGGTTTGAACTGCCAGCCTCCGGTTATCAGTCAAGTGCCTTAGGCACTATGCCACCAGAGCTTCTTTTCCAAATATAGTATTTAAAAAATGCTGTCAAGAGATACTTGGAAATCCACACCAGGTGAAATATGATAAATGGTTATAAGGGGCTTCAGAGACTTACAGGGAAAATTCTATCCTCAATTACTCAATTCTTCAAATATATACTGAACATCTACCAGATGCCAATCACTCGTAAGAAACTTCTGCTTTGATTTCAAGCTGCAAATAGGCAGCACCTTTCGGGTACTTCTGCTATTCACCTTCGTTTTCTCCTTCTGGAGTTTCATTTCTAAAAGCTACCTTAATCTAAAATCACTTTTATTTAACAAAAAAAAGTTTCAAACCATGGCTATTGGTAATTAAAAACCAAAAAACAAACTCACGGCCATGGAGTAGATTCCAACTCACAGCAACTCCTTTTAGGTTTCCAAGGTGCTATCAGAGCTCCTTTACTGGTCAGTTAGTTTAGAATAATTCAATTCAATAAAATTCAAGAATAACAAAATTAATTCAAATTGTCCCCTTGGGATTTACAACTTTAGTTCTAAACATTTAAAAACATACTTATTTATTCCTTCCTTTTTCTCCCTCCTGGTACTCAGAGGGTAACTTTGGTGGTATAGTGCCTAAGGCATTTGACTGTTAACCAGAAGGACTGTTAACCCTCAGAAGGAAGATTGGGCTATCTACTTCTGTAGAGATACCCCCTCTGAAACCCAAGGAGGGGTCACTATGAGTCAGATCCGACTCGATAGCTCCAAGTTTGGTGTTTGGTTTAGTACTCAGAAAGTGCGGTCAAACAGTAAAAAAAAAAAAAAAACCTCACTGAAACAAGGATAAATATTAAACCCCATCAATGTTTGGTCTAACAGCAAAACTTAACTCTGATTATAAGAAGATGGAAAAATTCCTGCTTTGAGATCTATGCTCATCAAGAATAATAATGCCTGTTTTGGTGGGGTTATTTTTTGCCTAAATGAACAATTCAATCTTGTAATTTAAGTATTTATTCTTAGTGAGTGGATTCACAAATGTGAACACTTTAGATACAGAATTGCAAGGAACCAACTTCCTGAATTCTCTGACCTGAATGAATAAGACAAATGTCACTGAATGGGCTTAATAAAAAAAAAAAACAAACTCAGGGATAAAGGAAGGAGATTATCCCCTCAGACCCTTTAGAACTTTGATTCTCTTGTGATTCTAAAATCTGTCACATGGGGTCACTAGGTCCAAACTGACTCCACAGCACCCAACAACACTACACCCAGCCTTCTTTTACCTTTATAATGGACGGAGACCTTGTCTGTTCCATTTTTCATAAACTCTCTTAGAGAAGGACCTTTCTGTCACTTACCAAGCAGAGAACACAAGAGTCTATTCTTTCCAACAGACTGATCAGAGCAGACTTTATTTAAATTATTATTCTGGGAGCAAGTCAAGCCCCTTCTGTCAACTTAGGCAATTTTGATTAATTTTCTTCCTAAGTTACCTATTAAACACACACACACATTCTGAAATGGAACCTTTGGAGGCAGTTAAGTCTTTCAGTAGAGGAATCCTAATGGGAACTTAGGACTCGATAGATCAGAGTCTAACAACTCCCTGGTTAGGAAATGAGAATAAAGCCTGAGCATTCAAAAAGTGGAACCAATACTGACTGCTAGTGTCCCAATTTTCCTATCCCAAAATTTCTCTGCACAGCATGATAGCAGTGACAACCTGCCAAACACCTGGCCATGCTTGGTGATCCTGAGGGATGTTATCTCAGACAATAATAAAAAAGATTTCAATTGTGAATTAAGGATTCCCTTTGCTTCCTTTCCTACTCCTCCAATCCGTAACCACCATGCCACTAAACTCATTTTGTGCTACTCAAAAGCTTCCTAACAGATATGTGCTGTTTAGTCTATAGATACATACGACCTTTAGACTAATGCTAATAGCTACCATTTATTAAGTACTTATGGACTAGGGATTTTGCAAACATTAAATCATTTCATTTCCTAACTACCTATAAGATTGGGCTGGTGCCCATGTAAGAAGAGGTGAAGTGATTCTTAAAGACATAAAGCAGTTTGCCCAAGGTCTCACCATAAATACAGAACCCTCAAAGGGTGTATTACTTTGAAAACCACTCACCCTAACCCCAAGCCCTAACCTCATCCCTCACTTGGCCTGAACTCCCTGCCCTTTATTTATTAGTATACCCCTACAATCCATTCTCCACACAGAAACTAGAATGATCTTTAAAAATAATACAAATCCCAATCACAGGTACCTGAAGGCCTGGCCTTTGACTCAGCACCATCATCTCATCACAGGGTGACCCAGTGACATGGGGAAGAAGAGCTGCTCACCCACAGCTCTGAACTGGTGAGCACTCTGACTCTGCTTTCAATTTGGTCTGTAACTTTCCCCAGCCAGTTCTCACTTCAGCCGTGGACTGACCTGTCCCCCACTTCCTTCTTCTCAGGTCCAAATACAATCCTTCCTCAAGGATTTAAAATGAATTTTTTGTTTTTTATATTTTATCATATTCATTCTGTCCTCCTTCCAAATGAAATCCTCACATTTCATTTTACCTTTCATATTCAATATTCCACCTTCATCTGAGGTGCAACCGACTCTCAACAACACACACTTTCAGTGACTCCCAAGGATGTAGCCAAGGAAGTGCCAAGAGCATAACCCTTTTAAAAAAAAAATCTAAATGAGAAATGTACACCGAGTATCTAAGCTAACACCTTTCGCTCTTTTAATGGGGGAGCGGGGTTAAGTAAATTGAGGGGCCCGATCCCAATTTTAAAACGGGTAGCAGCGATCCAGCATCCACTCGTCCACCCCGACTCCAACCTACCCTCCTGGACCGCAGCTGCTCTTTCTTTTCGGATCCAGAGGGGGCCTTGGCCCAGAAGACGCCCACGTAGGGCAAGGCGGACAGAACATCCGAGAAGGCGGCGCCGCGGGCCCGGCTCTGCTGCCGGCCCAGGAGGCCCCCGCTCCGGTAGCGACAGCGGTAGGAGAGCACCAGGCCCAGCGACAGGAAGAGCAGCCCGCACAGCAAGAGCTCCCTGTTGGCCAAGGTGATGAAGTCCCCGCACTTCTTATAGAAGTAGGTGAAAGTGGCAATGCCCAGAAAGGTCCACATGGCTCAAGGCTTCCTGGCGGCACCGGGAACTGGGGCGCTGCTTTCTTTCCCTGGAGGGTCTTGGTCATTCGCGGTTCTCCCCAAAAGAAGGGACCAAAAGGGGCATGGAGTAGCGGCCAAACTCCTGGAAACACAGGCACGGATGACAACTGAAATTTAAGATAATTTTTAAAAGCACAGAAAGTCAGTATAAAAGCACCCTGGTGGCGACGGGAGTTGGAGCAGGCTCAGACACCGGGATCGACCACACGCCGGCTCCGCATCAGACACCCGCCTCCTTCAGGGAATCGATTCCGCCCTTTTCCGAGGGGTGTCCTCCGGCTGACTGCTGCTGCCGTTTTTTATGTCTGTTCGTCGGGCGGTAAAACCTTTCTTTTCTATGCCCGGCAGCAGGTGCCCTTGCGGAAGGGACCAGCGGAATTCGTAAAGAAATAGCTAGGCGCCGCGAGAAAATCGGCCTCGCCCCTCAGACAGCGATCCCTCCCGCGGCGCTGAGAAGGCGCGAGGGAACGAGAGCCCCCGGCCAGCGACACTACCCGGCCCACCTGCACACAGGAAAAAGCCTGGATTCCTTCTCAAACAAAAGATGGCCTCGGAGTCAAGATTTCGGCTTCAAGAAGCCCGGCCACTCTCTCACTTCTTTCCCCGACTCCCCAGCCCCGAACCTTCCAAACCGGTTTTCTCGTGGCGGAAAGGCGTTCTCCACAGATCTCCACTCAGAGGACTGCAGCAGCAGCAGTTGCCAGCGGCCTCCTCACCATCATCCTTAGCGTGTGGCGGCGGCGGTAACAGCGTTCTCCCCAGAGGCGCTTGCGCTGTAACCAGAGTAACCGCACCCAACCCCACTCTCCCAATCGGACCCACTACGCCGGAGCAGCACTAGCGCTCTCGGCCCACGCGTAGGACCAGGGGGCGGGGCTCCAGGATGCCAGCCAGCCCCGCCCCGCCCCGCCCGCCAGCCCTGCCCCCAGCCACCGCTTCCAGCCAATGAGGGCGCGCACCGCGCGGTAGGCTGAGATGGCGCTATGCCTCGTTCGGCCAATCGCAGGCGGCAGACCCCGCGCAGCAACGTCCTCAGAGGCGCTAGGGCGATGTTGCGTGGTATGTGGGGTGGGGGCGTGGGACTAGGGAGTCTCCTGGCTGGTGGGACCTGGAAGAAGGTTAGGTCTGGCTCGGGGGCGTGGAGGTGGGCTGGGTCTGCGCGCGACTTGCCCTTGGCGGTCGGGTCATTCCACTGGTACCAGCCCCTGCACCTGGGGTCCTCAAAAGAGCCAAAATGGACCTCGTTCTGCCGAAACCCTCCCGAGAGATCCCCCGCCTAATGTCTGTGTCCATTCGTTCCGCGAGCATTTATTGAGCGCGTGCGACGTGCTGGCCCCCGAGACGTAGAGATGAATCAGATATAGATTTTCTGTGTTGTGCCTTGTGTAAGTGAAGGTGGTTAAAAGAACTCGGTGCAGGAGGAACGGACGAATCGGAAAGAACTTGTTTGCCAGACAAGAGATAATAGGTGCTGCGTTACTTCCTCACCCAAACTTGTCAGGCATCTACGCATCTATCATCGTGCTCAGGCTAAAGATACTCTGAAGAGAGTAGCCCCTATTTTCTCTAGGACAGGGGAAACAAGGAGGGGGAAGGGAAGGACGACAAAGAAGTACATATGTGTCATTAGTGCCCTGAGGAAGACAAGACACTGTGGAAACAGGAGGCAGTCCTATACTGCGCGGAGGGAGTCAGTCTCTGGAGGAGTTACATGAATTGTGTTCTAGACAAACATTCCGATAATTGTGCAAAAGTCTCCGGATGAGAGACAAGCCCTGTTAAAAAATAGTGAAACTCCTTTGGCGCCTTAAGTACACCCTGCCCATCAGAATATTTATTGCGACGGCACATAACAACAACAACACGACAGTGCTTTCACTCACTGTTTTACCACTCAACTGATGTCTTTAATTCTGATTCTGTCCTTTTTGTTTTTTCAAAGCTGGCACTTCTTCCAACAAGTCTCCTTTGACCCTTACCAAATCACAAAATAATTTATTCATGCTTTCTTGACCCATTCACTTAAGTGTAAGTCTTGAGGGAAGGATCTGTGATCATGGAGATCACCCATGTCACAGAGAACTGAAACTCTCACTCCGCTGAAGTAAAATCACAGGGATTGACTGAAGCCAAAATTAACACTGCAATGGCAGATCACTGAAGTGCAGGGGATGTCAAGGAAAAAATGCAAGTCACACAATTATAGCACTGAAAGGGGAAAATAAAATTATAGTATGATTGGTTTACAGTGATTAAGGTCAGTCCAAGGCAGGGCAAAGTAAAGCAGAATCTTTAATATTGGTTACATGAATACACTGATTGGCTAAAAGACATAATTTAAAAACAGGGTCAAGAGAGGGTTTCATGTCCATTACAAAGCAATAATATGGGTATTTTCAGGAATTATTCATTAACTATCACCTTCTTAAGAGTGTTAGATCTCTGGAGGAGAATGGAAACAAAGCATTTCCATGAACTACTACTATGCGAACTACTACTATGCTCAGAATGTCAGGAAACCAGAGGAGACAGAAATAAAAAGTCTACATGAAGCATTTACATTCTTTAGCCTAATCACAAAGAAATCCATTTCCTTAACAGTGTTAGGGGTTGGCTCCTAGCCAACAAAGGTAGAATCTGGGAAAAAGGCAACTTGGAGCTTCTAGGTGGCAAATGTAAAGTCTAGGTGAAAAATTACATTGACCTCCTAGAGTTAGTCCAGTCATTATACAAATGGGTCAGATGCCTTTTTTGATTTTATATCCCTTACCATTCCCTCCTTTTGATCAAGCATTTCAAAGAAATAAGGACTGTAATTGTTTTTAGTATTTCTTCCTTGTTTTGTTGTGTGTGTGTGTGTGTGGGTGTAAGCATTCAGCAAATATTTATTTTCTTCATTCCCTTATTCTATTACTTATTATAAAGTATAGGAGCTCTGGTAGCATAGTGCCTAAGGCACTTGACTGCTAACCAGAAGGCTGGCAGTTCAAAACCACCAGCCACTCCTTGGAAGGAAGGTTGGGCAATCTACTGTAGTGATGCTGCCTTGGAAACCCAAGGAGTTGCTATGAGTCAGATCCAACTCGATGGCAGTGACAGAGTGCATTTTTGGTTGTGCACACATTAGTTGCATCATACAAGGCACAAGTGAGTCAGGAAAAGCCTCCAGCCTGACCCATGGATTTGGGACTTCCCAGCCTCCACAACTGCATGAGCCATTCCCTTTAAATAAATCTTTCCCTCTGTATTTAGATACATAAGCCTCACTGGTTTTGTTCTCTAGAGAACCTAGTCTAAGACACATGGCTCTGTTTCTTCAAAAACAAAAATCTTTTCCTCAAGCCTGGAGCAAAGGCAGTGAGCCATGACACAAAATCAGCAACACACTGGAAAGTAATATTGAGACATAACTTTGTAATCATGACAAGAGCTAACACTTATAGACAGTGTTCTAAGTGTTTTTAAAATATTAAGCCATTTTGTCATAGCAACACGATGAGTCAGATACTGTTATCAGCCCTCTTCTCTAGACAAGCACCTGTTGCACAGAGAAGTGATCACACAGCTGGTGAGCACTGGACTCTGAATCCAAACCTGAGAAATCTGGCTCAGGAATCTTCTTGTTGTGTGCTGTCTAGTTGGTTCCAACTTGTAACAATTCTATAGGACAAAGCAGAATTGATCATAAGGTTTCCCAGGCTATAATCCGTTGTTTGTTTTTTAATTTTTATTGTGATTTTGGTGAGAGTTTACAGAGCAAATTCATCTTCCATACAGCAGTTCACATACACTTTGTCTCATGACATTGACTGTAATCTCCCACAATGCAACAGCTCTCCTCCCACTTCCCCTGTATAGCCCTCTTCCCTATGTCCTTCCCTCCTATGCACTCCTGCCCCCTGAGCTATCTCCCTGTGCATACACATCCCTTCTATTCTCCCATGATTGATCTCTCCAAGGAGTGTATCTACCTAATGTAAATGTTCAGCTCACATGCCTATCTTTTGTTTGGCTGGAAGCCAAGGAATGGGTTCAATTTCAGACCTGAAGGGCAGCTAGAGCCATAATCTCAGGGGTTCCACTAGGCTCTGTCAGACCAGCAAACCTGTTTTTTTTTTTTTTTTTTTTAATGATTTTGAGTTTTGTTCCACATTGTTCTCCCACTCTATCCAGGATCTCCTACATAGATCCCTCTCCGAGTGGTTGATAGTGGTAGTCGGGCATCATCTAGTTCTTCTGGTCTCATAGTCATATAGGCTGAGGATCCCATGGTGTACCAGTAGCTTTGACTAATTGCTTCCATGCGTCTTTGATTTTCTTCATTCTTTGCTCTGGATGAGGAGAGACCCATCATTGCATCTAGATGGGCGCTTGCAAGCTTTTAAGATCCCAGTCCCTACTCACCAAAGTAGGTTGTGGAACAATGTTTTTGTGTAGCATGTTATGCCAGTTGAACTTGTCGTGCCCTGGGATCATGTTCCCAAGCCCACAGGTCCAAGTACTTGCTCCCTCTGGGTAGCTGTCTTGGCCAAGAAGTGACAACAACCTTGTCTCTTGTCAACTCTACTATATACCTGGAGATTCTTACAGAACATACAAGTATACTTGCAGAAACATTGTCTGCCAACCTTACACATGGTCATGGGCACGCTCTCCCCTGCACAGACATACCTAATTGTTCAGCCACGGCTATAATCTTTATGGGACCAGATCATCAAGCCTTTTCTCCCATGGAGCCACTGGTGAGTTCAAACAGCTGACCTTTCAGTTAACAGCCAAGTGCTTAACCACTGCACCACCAGGGCTCCTCTGAAACTGCATACAAGATCTGTTGTTGTTGTTGTTATGTGCCATTGAGTCGGACCCAACTCATATCGACCCCTCCTTAGGTTTCCGAGGCAGTATCTCTAAGGAAGTAGATTGCCCAACCTTCCTTCCAAGAAGTGGCTGGTGGGTTTGAACCGCCAGCCTTCTGGTTAGTAGTCAAGTGCCTTAGGCACTACGCTACCAGAGTTCCCAATATAAGATCTAGTTGCCTTAAAAACAAACACAAAGTATCTGTGATCCTTCCAGTTTTTTGTTTAACCAACT